GCTGAGGAACAGCTTGAAGTTTGTTTATGTTGGCAGGGCAAACACTTTCCCACTGACAAAGAGAAGTTATTCATGTATGACAGCTTCACAGATGACCAGTAACTAATTTCCTGGTTCGCAGATCTGATGAAAGTAAGATTTCTAAACAGGCCTCTAGATTTTTTTTTTTTTTTACAGTCCAGTATACTAATGTTGGGAAAGGGGCCAAAAATGTCATATCTTAAAGATAAGTAACATTTAAAGAAAATAATGACGTATTTTTAATAACAACTTATTACAAAGACCTGAGAAATCTTTCAAAGTCTGAATTGTTTTAATGCTTGTTTCATTTAGGCATTAAATTGATTTCATTATTTTTGTATATAAGTGGAAAAATGTTTCATATTGTTTAAGATGTCAGGAAAATCTGGGATCTCTATTCAGAAGTGTAAAATACTTCAGCCTAGACTTCATGTTATTGAGATGGGAACACAGAATTTAAAATACGAATAGGAAGCTGTGGATTAGTGGGACATTACCAGGAGTTCCTGTGATATGTAAAGATCTTGCTGAAGAAAAACCAGTCCAGCAATTCTCCTCATTTACTCAGATAAGCAACCATGTGTGAGCAAGGCTGCTGAGGAGGCAGGGAAAGAAGTTAACTGCATGCATCTTATACAAATTATATTTGATTTTAAGCTACATTCTGAGTAGATGTTTCTTAGTCCTATGCTTAAAAATACCAACTACAAGAACTCTGTAGCAGACAGTAGCAAGGTCTCTGTGGGAATATAGCAAGATTTCACAACTTTGCTTGGGGCTGTTGGGAAAAAAAAACAAATTTGAAGTGTGCGTTTCATTGTTTATTTGAAAGACATGAGGACTCTTGCTATGTAGTCCACACATGGTGTATTAGAGTGGTAGTTAGGTCATGTGATAGAGATTTGGCTTTGGCCTTGACTTTGATGACTGTAGTTTGCAATTGCATGCACGCTGATATGCAAGATGCTGGTTGAGAGATCATACATTCTAACACTGAGGAGAGAATGAATCTTCAGGTGCTAAATATATCCAGCTCATACCTGGCCAGACTTTAGAAGGTGCTTAATAATAATTCTGTTGTAATTTACATCCACAATTCATTTGTACATATTCATTAAGTCTTTATCTGGCATTTAAATATTCTTAAAACTGACATCACAATTTCATTACTGCACGGAAGTAAATCTTGTAGTCTGTACTTAGGCAAAACTCACATTAATTTCCATTTGAAAGCTGCAGGAGTGTACGGGCTGTCATGAACTGGTGACTGGTGTTTGAAGTAAAGTATGCTTCCTGACATTTGGGTCAGTAATCTAGCAAGAAAAAAGATGTGTATTGGTCCCCCAAATACTCTGTTAATGTGCTCTCTAAGGGTAGGATTTGCTTCACTGCAGAGAGTTGTTATACATATCTCTGCCACAGTGCCTAAACCTTGTAAGGAACTGCTGTAATGGGGTGAATTACAAACTATTATTTCTGAAGCCAGCAAGCACATCTCAGGAAAAGTTTTATTATTTCTTTCTCTTTGTAGAATACTTACATACAAATAAGAATTCCCCATACTTGTTCATCATTTAACTTCAGTCAGCAAACATTTTTCCAGGTTTTCCTTCATTAGAAGCATTCAAAACCTGAGTTGTTGTGTCTTTCTAACTGCATTATCCTGGTCTGTCAAAGGCAGCATGCAATTTGTGTAGATACTCTGAAATATGAAATCTGGATTATGGTTTTTTTTCCTATGGCAATTATTCATTCATTAAGAACCACTGTTTTCCTGTTTAAGGATAAAGACTATGGAAAAGATTAACATGTCTCATAAATCACTAAAAAGTAAAGATAAATATACCCCCCGTACTTTCACAGTTGCCAAAATGTGAAGCTGTTACGTATGAGGATATATTTGAACATATATTCATGTTCACCTTAAGCATAAAATTACTCTGTTTATGGATACTTATAAAGCAATCTTCCAATATTTTCCTTAATTTTATCTTCCACTGAACTGGGTATACTGCTTCCTATGGAAAAATGTACTATTCATAGAAGTGTACTTTTTACAGCTGAATTGAGCTGATAAAGAAGGATTGGTAGGTCTCTTGTCTTGGTTTTCCAAGTGTTTGGATATCAGAAAGTACTTGGGAAGAAATCTTGACTTCAGACAGTAGTAGGGGAAAGGATGGGAATGAGAGAGGGAAGAGTTTTGTGGTGTCAGAAGCAAGAGAAAAAGGGTGGAGGTTAGTATGGGAGATAGGGAAGAGAGCAGAGCAGCAGAAAGACTTGATGTTCATGAGAACCAGAGTCAGGAGGAGTATGGTGGAGGGACCTAGAAAGAAGGGGAACAGTAAGAGGAGTATGGCTGAAATTGAAAATAATTTCTGTGGGGAAAACCCTAATATTCTGGCTTCATGGCAGATGCTGTAGACTTTCTTCCTGGTGGGACGGTGGAGAAACCAGGATCATGTAAATATACTAGTTTTCACCTTCTGTTGTAGAAACAGGAGGGGAAATAGTTGTCTGCCTCTTGGAGGCTGTCTGCTACATATATCCCCGATGGGGTCTGCATAGAGCTTCATCAGTGGGTCAGGAGACACTGCCTTTCAGATCAGCCTTTCTACTAGCACTTAAGTTCACTATTAAAGGCCAACTGTAAACAAGCCAGGCCATCTGTTTGCTAGTGGCTTATGGTCTGCTTTTTGTTAAATTATTTAGTAGGTGACAGGCTGTACGTATGTGCGTATGAACAGCTGTAGACACATCCTGTCATGCAGCATTTGGTCATCTCGTAAGCATACCTCTGTTCCTGGGATGGGGAGGGCACACACGCCTCTAACACCTTCTCTAGAGAGATATTGGATGAAAGGTGTCTTTAGACCCAGCTTTCTCCAGCGATACAGAAGTACTGTACATCTGGTAGAACGTGATTTCTCCCACCGTACCAGTACTCAGGATTTAGTTAGGAGGTACAGTAATAAACCAGTTGTGGGTAAAGAAGACTAAGCACTCTTAAATTGATATACGCTTAACTGCCTGAAAACTGCCGTTGTTTAAAGTGGGGTTGTTCGAGTGGGGTTGTTTAAAGTAAAATGAGGAGAGGAGATAGTGCTGTGAACCTGGGGAACTGCAGGTGAAGACTCAATTAAATGACTCTGCAAAGAGGAGAAGCATCCTTAGGCATGACTTGTTTGGGGGACAAAGCTTTCATCTGGGCATTGTAAATAGTACATGTATGGTACATCAGAGAAGACACTGACCAGAAGGACGTCAAACCCAAAGTGTATTATCAGAGCTATAGCTTTCCTAACCTGATCCTTGGCTGCTCAGACAATTTCTCTGTAATAATCCCAGGCTACCCATCCCTGCTTCCACCCACTGTAGGCTTCCTTTCTGTGTTTGAGTCTGTCTGGGAGCTCCTTGTTCATCCATGGACAATACTATCACTTTCATATATCCACAGCTAACCGATGAGCTGCGAAACTCTGGAGTTTTCTGATTTGGACTTAATGCACAGTTTTTATAAAAAATGGGTTCTATTATAATTTTTTTTGGTTAAAATTTCCACCTAGTTTCGTTACTTTCTCATTATTGTGGGTAGGAAATTCTGTAAGAAATAAATGCTTGAAGGTAACTTACAAATATTTATTTGGCCAAATTCTCACCTCAAACCACCATGTTTTTTCTACTTAGGATCTTGATTTGCTAACTTTTAAGTCATAAAGCACCTTACTAATCGGAGGTTCGAGGTAGAGACAAAATGAAGAATTAACCATTTTATTTATCCAAAAAGATGCAGAAAATTCTATGGCAGGCAGATGTGTAAAACGTACAGATCTTCCTAGGAGCCTGCTTAGGGCTGGACCAGATGATAGGATTTACTTGGCCTTGCAAGAGGTCTGATGAGAAAGTGTGAATACTCTTTTTGGGCTTAAAAGAGAAAATACTTGAAGTTTATAATGCTGTGCTTGTGAGCTAAAACAACGCTGCCTACTGAAATCTGTGGTGTTTGGTTCATGTGTTACCAAAGAGCATTTGCTGGAGAGCTGGCCAGTAGGTCAGTTCCAGGAGCTCCTCGGGACTGTCACCACCAGCTGCAAGCACTTCTGTCCTTAGTCTGTGTCCTGCAGCAAGACGAGCAGTAAGCTGGGTCCTGCACTGCCCACCTACACGCAACCGTCCTGACCTAGACGAGCACGGTGTGATGAAAGAAAGAACAGACTATTCCCCAGCTCCTTTAGCCGGCCTCCAAAGCTGATAGCCTGGCTGACAGTCGGTGTCAGTGTGGCTGGGTCATTTTCTTATATTGATGCTTCTTAACAGGGACCTGGACCATGGCAACACAAGCCATTTAATAGCAGTTCTTACACCTGTTTGCCAGAGCAAGTCATGTGAAGTTTGCAAGCTGTCAATTAATATTTTTTATCTTAAAATATTTGTTTAAGAAAGGCCCTTGTTACTTTAAGAGGTGTAAACGTGTAAATGCCACACTGCTAGAAGTCAGCCATCTGGACTTTTTAATCTGGCAGGTAAACAAACGGACCAGGCTCTTTGATATCTCCCGGATTATTGCTGATCATATGAACATTAATGTTTCCAAAGGTGTCTCTTTGCTTCGTCACATTTCAAAGACCTCATTAATTTTGTTTTCTCATGTTTAAATATTTATTTTGACCTCTTACCTCCTGGTATAACCTCCTGGCTTGTTGGACCGACCAAATCAAAATACACTGATGTGTTCTGAATGGCCTTGCTGCTTGTATAAACACGCTGCATAAACAGCTCTTGCCAAACAAAAGAGCGAGTCCTCTGCTCTCCTGTAGCAAGTCTCTTTGTCCCTTTCACATTATCCATACAGGCAGGGGCTGTGCTGAGATGCGCCAGCTGGTTTTCCAGCCTTTGTACCCCGCGTTCTCGCATCCGTGGTTGCTCACCCTTGCCAGTAATAACAAAGACCAACGCCGTGTTGTTATCTCTTCGATGCGCAGGTGCCACTGCTGGAGTACCAACCCTCCTGCTGGTCCTGGTGGTGCCTACCCTGGGTGTCCTCGCCTGCTCGGGATTCTGAATGTAGCTGGATTTACCTTGTCCTCCGCCTAACACAAAGGACTCCCTTTGAAGATGAGGACCACGACTCTTTTTGATTCTTGTGGCACCATCCTAAGCCAAATAAATTACCCTTTAAAATAAATTACCCTACCGATTTCCTATGGACTTTAAGAGGACTGAGGCATCCAGGAACTCCTTCATGAAGTAAATCAACTTTTGAAAGGCTAAGAAATATTTTTAACTTGTTCCAATATGCCTTATGAAACACGCTGATCTGTGACAGTTGCATGATTCGGTCCAATGGGGCAAGTTACAGTGTTAAAACCCAATAACATAGGCTGTACAGTGAAAGTAAAATCACCATACGTAGGTGCTTTAACTTGAATAACAAATTGTGAAATATAATAGAGATTGAAATGTTGATTGTATGTGATAAATGTAAGAGTACTACGTCTGTCTGTACTATCCTATATGTTTTGTGTACTGCATATTTTTGAATGGCCCCATCATCATTTATTGGGATTACTGGGTTTTAGAGAGACAGTCAAAGCAAAAACATTTCATTTTTTTAGAGCTGTATTTCTTGAGGCTATTGGATAGAAATTGAAGGACTTGAAATAAAAGTCAGTGACAAGGAACTGTTTTTTTAAAAGATGTTCAGAATACCCGAGACATGCGTAGTGTGCTCAGCCTGAAGGAATTTACCTGTGCTTCACTGACACGAGATTTACCATATTCTTTTCTTAAACAGTTCTGTTGAAGTATTCCTTCATGGTCATTGTTGCTGATTTTTAGAGTGAAGTGTCAGCTTTCAGGGAAGCAGTGAAATGTGTTGGTTTTGATTTAGTATTATTACTATTATTATTATTAAGGTAGCAATATATTACGTAAGAGTTTGGAGATGGAGTCCACATAAAGACCAGCCAAGTGGACCATGAAATGGTAGGAAACGCATGTTATTTTTTAAGGTGAAAAGATTTAAAATATAAAAAAAAGAAAAAGATATACAATAAATGGCAAAAACAGAGTAGCACAGTAAAAAAAATACTATATTTACATTTTTATGCTGCAGATGCCAGGTGTTACCTTCCTGTAGTGAAGGTGTACATTTGGGAGAATTATATGCTTTTTCAAGAACTTGATATTATTCTAATGTTCATAGTGTTGTAAATAAGAGTTTTAAAGTTCTGAGACCGTCTCCCTATTTGATAGAATACTGGATGATCCAACTGTGTGTTGATATATGGAAGTCAGCTCCCAACAGTTAGTCAAATCTAAATGTTTACTATGGCCTTTGCAAAATGGGAACTCTATTAGAGATAGAGAATGTTTTTGTTCTGACTGTGTCTGGAGTGTTTCAGTGTTGGGTTTTTTGTTGGTTTGTTTGGGTTTTTTTAAGTTGTTAAAGAAATGCACATTACTTTCACTTTCCATGGTGTGCCGGGAATTAGTTCAAGTGTGAATGTTGAAGAAACACAGTGATATTGAATCAGCTGGCTCAAGTAATAGTGCAATGTCTGATGCTTCAAGAATTATAAGCTTTGAATCATATTTTATTAGCACAACCTTGCTAGCTACTTAGAAATAGAGTTTATCTTTTTAGAACTGATACTGTAGAGGTCCATAATTAAAATATTTACAGGAAGCAAGAATAGGTCTATTAATAACTTACACCCACTTCTTTTATTTGTATAATTTTGTACTATATATTTACATGTAAAAGTGTAGAGTCTTCATTAAGAAATATCAATAATACTGGTTTAGTTTAATTTTAACTATTTGTTAAAAGATGAAATTTTTTTAAGAGGTGAAAGTGATAACTTCCCTATAGAGGAATGTCAAAGTGTCAAACACTACTGAGTTTCATAAATTGTATAATTATTTGAAAGAGAAAAGAGCTGTCTTCATACATAACAAACTAATATGCTGTAAGCCTTCTATACAAAAAAAAATGTGGTTTATTGTGTTTCATTTTGTTTGGTTATTTTGCAGGATGACTCATTTTTATATAACGTACAACCACAACTAAATCTTTTGCCAAATGCATGATTGCCTTTTACTTTTCTAATACCTGGTGTAAAAAGCAAAACTGTTTAGTTTTTGCATGGAAATGACCTGGGAAGGAAAGCCACTTCTTTTTTTAAGTCAGCTAAAGTGATGAGGTAGGTCTCACATTCTGATCAGATAGGTGGAGATTTTTCTGTTTCATGTAGGTGTGTAAATTTGACGGGACCTTCAGTTTCAAATTGTTGTCAAGAAAAACTAATGTATCATCCGCTTTAAAACGCAAGGTTCGTAATTAAAGTTTACATAGATAGACATATTTGTTGTTTCTTTATATTTCAGGAAACTTGATATTACTCTTATTTGATACTGATGAATATTGAACTGGTTTTTTAGTTACTTTTTATCTTTTTTTTTTTTTCAGATTAGTAGAGCAGGACTGTGCTTTGTCCTTTTTATGAATGAAAAGTAAATTACAATTAAATAAATGTATTAATGTTACTCAAAATACAATAACTGTCTTTTGAATTGGAGCTTTCTAATTTCATAACAGTGATGTGGTCATCTGTGACAGCAATGGTGTGGATGGAATGAGGTCCTGCATATCCCTTCCCTGCCTCTTGTGAGTTTTGCTGGAGTTAAAGACCTCTGTGGGATGAGGGTGGCTTAAAGAGCTTTTGTGGGATAAAGGTGACTGTTTTGTTTTGGTTATAGGTGATCTAAAAAGATTTTCCTAACACTAGGGACAGAGAGTCTCCTGAGACCTCTTCAGAGTTTTTGGAAGCAAGAGTTATCCAAGCAGAGTATTTTTTTCAGGTAATGTTTTCTTCTCCGGTAGATAGATTACAAAGAAAAGTGGCTGAAATGGCAAAGCTTCGTACTGATTAAATGCTTTTGAGTGATCACAATAATTGCAAGCACTGACATCAGCTATAACTGACAGATACTGCCTGCCTTTGAGGAGTCATGTTCAAGCCCTGAAACGCACAAAATGCAGCACATAAGAAGTTGGTGAAGCTGACGGTCGTATTGCAGAACTTGGTTTTATTTATCTTCAGACATACCAAATGATGAGAGTCAGTGAGAGATGTGTTCCTCATGCCCTGCACCTGAAAGGCTGTCTAGTCAATGTGAGTGGGGCTCAGACTTGGGGAGGAGGAGATTATTTGATTTAGGTACATTTTTATCTTGGTTTCTAAGAGAAATAAGGGTTTGAGTCTCTGCCTGCCACTTCTCTGCTAGTGATTTCAAACCTATTGGGCGTCAGCAGGCAACTTCAGCAGCTGTCTTACTGCTGAAGTTGAAGTGTAGTCTGAGTAGAAGTTAGAGATTTAAATTAGGGATTTGCATCGAAGGCGGCCGCAGCATGGTCACTGGTGTTACCTGTTCTGTTTGGCCTGCCGGATGCCTAGCCAGCCAAACGCCTGACAGCCAGATCCAGCTCGCCTTGCTCCTGCCTTTCCTCGGGGCTGGACAGCATGGGACGAGCGTAGGCTGGGGGAATCCTGAGCACGTGGCAGTGCAGGAGAGAGAAGTACCAGGGGGCAGCTGAGATCACTGCAGTGACAGAGCGAGGAGGGGAAAAATGGGGCATAGAGCATAAATCCATAGGAGAAGAGATTCATTATTTCCACCCTTCAAAGAACAAGTTGTTTTTGTTTGTGAGACTTCTTTGTTTCCAGACTTCAGAGCCTGAATGATGATAAAAAATATGCCTTTCAATGTTAGATGTCTGGCTGAAGACCAGATCTTCCCACTTTGATCTGCTTCAGCATTGCATTAATCTACACTTCGTCTTGGAATTAAATTAAAGTAACAGACATCAGGTAATACCCAAATACATTCCAGTACAGATTTTGAAATAGTTCCAAATGCTATTGTTTGCAGATTTTGTTTATTTAAATACATCAAGGAAATGTCTATCTTTCAGGTTATGACAGTACATTGTAGGCTAAGGCTATTCCTTTGGCAGGAGTATAAATTTCTATAGCTTCTAGCACTTGTGTGTGCTCCATCCTTGCACATGTCATCCAGCATGATCTTTCCACGTTGTTAGGACATCAGCAGAACACAGGAACCACCTGCCTTTGGCACAGAGCAGCGGGGTCTTGCAGAGGAAGATTGCCCCTCTCCATTTCTTCCAGATATGATCCATTTTTCCTTAACTTTTCTACCATTAGGTCCTTTGGCTTTGTCATTTTAACATTCTTCTTATTTCCAAAAACAGAATAAAGGACAGAAAGCGCAAAACTCCACATGAATGGGAAATAAAAAATAATATTTGCATCTCAAACAGGAGTAGCACCTTCTTTTCTTTCCTTGACAGGCTAGCATGTTTTTCTTTTACCTGGATGCCATTTAACCAAGTCTACTCTGAAGAATGTCATGAAAAGAGACATGAAGTGTTTCCTTCACTTTAGTTGATCTTGCCTCTGGTCTATTCTCTTGATTAATATGGATGACACTGGAAATTATGCCAAATATAGTTCCCCAAAAAACCTTTTAAAACTCATGATGTAGCAGGTAACTTCAACACGCAACCCCCAGTGAGCATTGATGGGTGGATTTTACTGGTCTATATTTAAAGAGTCTGATAGTCTCTTTAAAACCTGATGCCTTTGGTATTTAGTGTGTTGTCACAGGCAGTGTCTGCTTCACCAAAAGGTATGAAATCATTTCTTTCTTTCCCAAAGCAGGCAGCAGAAAAGGCTCAGTGCCTTCTGACTCATTGAGAAATCTGTTTCCAAGGATTTGAACCTACTCACTGCCCTTTACTCACGGCAGATTGCAGTGTTGCAATACAGCCCTTCTGTATTTTATTATTAGGCTTGGTCAGCACTAGGGAGTTGTGCCAGAGCCACACGTCATCTCGGAGAGAAGAGAATCAGACACTGCCCAGCACAAAATGTTGGGTCAGCAAAGCGTCTGGCATAAATGCAGCAATGCTGGCCTAGGTTAGCCAGTGTGATGAGGGAAAGTGGAATAATTACCCTGCCAAAAATTGTCTCACACAGGCTCTGCACCCACCAGGAGTACACAGTCAACAGCCTGACAGCAGATGCACCACGATGAAGGCCGGTTCCCGTTCAGGAGGTACATCCCAAGAGCGCTGGGAGAGATGGTACAGGTACACATCTCCAACGACAGCCATGCTGTGTGCCCTGGAGTATACTCTGCCCTGGACATCGCTAATGGATGAGTGCAGAAAGAAGAAATTTAAAGACCTGCTTGACTTCTCCCTCTTCCCCATCCTACTCCACATCCAGCGCTGGTAATAGTTTTCAGGGGGAGCTCTTCTCTGCAACCACAGGAAACAGCTGCATTTATAGGAGACTTAATCTTATCCTGTAGTAGATAAGTAAATAGGACAGACAAATCACATCCCTAAATGCGCCTGCCCACTGGCTACGAAGGAGACATAGGTCTAAATCTATGACACTGGAGGAGGTAAATCCTGCCTCCGCTGTCTTATAGAATCATAGCATCATTTAAGTTGGAAAAGAACTTTAAGATCATCAAGTCCAACTCCTAACGCAGCACTGCCAAGTCCACCACTAGCCCGTGTCCCTAAGTGCCACACCTATACATCCTCTAAATACCCTCAAGTATCGTGATTCAACCATCTCTCTGGGCAGCCTGTTCCAATGCCTAACAACCCTTTTGGTGAATATATTTTTCCTAATATCCAGTCTAAACCTCCCCTGAGGCAACTTGAGGCTATTTCCTTTTGTCCTATCACTTGTCACTTGGGAAAAGAGACTGACACCCACTTTTGCTACAGCCTCCTTTCAGGTAGCTGTAGAGAGTGATAAGGTCTCCCCTGAGCCTCCTCCAGGCTAAACAACCCCAGTTCCCTCAGCCGCTCCTCACAGGACTTGGCCTTGTTGAACCTCAGGGAGTTGGCTTAACCCATCAATCCAAAATGTCCAGATCCCTCTGAAAAGCTTTCCTTCCCTCAGGCAGAGTAACACTCCTACCCAACTTGGTGTTGCCTGCAAACTTATTGAGGGTGCACTTGATCATAGAATCATAGAATGGTTAGGGTTGGAAGGGACCTTAAAGATCATCTAGTTCCAACCCCCCTGCCATGGGCAGGAACACCTTGCACTAGACCAGGTTGCTCAAAGCCACGTCCAGCCTGGCCTTGAAGACATCCAGGGATGGGCCATCCCCAGCTTCTCTGGGCAACCTGTTCCAGTGCCTCAACACCCTCTCTCTGAAGAATTTCTTCCTGATGTCTAATCTAAACCTCCCTGATTTCAATTTGTACCCATTACCCCTTGTCCTGGGTAATGTCCTGATCCCCTTACTCTGGTCATTGATAAAAATATTAAAAAGAATCAGGCCCAGTACTGAGCTCTGGGGAACACCAGTGGTGATGAGCCACCAACTGGATTTAACTCCTTCACCACAATTCTTTGGGCCCAGCCATCTAGCCGGTTTGTTACTCAGCAAAGTGTACACCTGTCCAAGCTGTGAGTAGCCAGTTTCTCCAGGAGAATGCTGTGGGAAACAATGTCAAAGACTTTACTAAGTCTAGGTAGACAACATCCACAGCTTTTCCCTCATCCACTAAGCAGCTCACATTGTCATAGGAGATCAGGTTCATCGAGCATGTCCTGCCTTTCATAAACCCATGCTGACTGGGCCTGATTACCTGGTTGTCCTATACCTGCCGCGTGATGGCACTCAAGTTGATCTTCCCTGGCACCGAAGTCAGGCTGACAGGCCTGTAGTTCCCTGGATCCTCCTTCTGGTCCTTCTTGTAGATGGGCATCACATTGGCTAACCTCCAGTGAATGGGGACCTCCTCAGTTAGCCAGGACTACTGACAGATAATGGAAAGTGGCTTGGTGAGCACTTCCACCAGCTCCCTGAGTACCCTTGGGTGGATCCCATTCGGCCCCATAGACGTGTGTGTCTAAAATTGGTGCAGCAGGTTGCTAACCTTTTATAACAAAATGCAAGATCAGATGCTGGTAAAAAGGCACATCTAAACAGAGAATGAAAAGATACTGACTGGGCATCGTCTCCTCTAGATGGCTGTCACAATGTCACCTCCATCCTTCAGTTATTTGACACCTGCTGAAAGCAGCACATAGGGAACTGTTCCTATGGCACTGAGGTAGTCCAGCACTAGCCCTCCTTACAGTCTGCTCAGCTCCAGGCAAATTCTGATCCTTGCTGGTGGTCCGGTGGGCACTGGGGCCCAGGTCAGCATATGCCGCAGTCAGCAGGGTAGACAGCACCCAAGGATTCATTACCTGGCTGCAGGTCGGTGTTTAGGCCTTCAGGACATACCCATTTGGCGTAACGCTGGGGCTGTGGAGGGCACGTAGCTGAGCAGAGCGGTTGTCCTCAGAGCACCAAGCTTCTGCCCTGTCAGGGCACCACACTGCTGCTGCAGGCCTCTCAAACACGTGCAAAGGCCAAGATGAGGTCTATTCTGGCATCAGATCCCAAGACCCTTCAGCCAGCTTTGGTCCCTGATTTGACCTCCA